ACACTCGCGGACGGCCGCACGCAAAAGTCAATTGACCGATGCGTCGACGGCGTTCCGGTATACTTTGCGCCCCTTGCGTGCGAGCCGGTGTCTTTTGACATCCTCTACACCAAGTTTGACATGATTCTAGGCATGTCTTGGTTGCGTAGGCTGGATTTCAATCTGGTGGTAACCTGACTTCAAGTCCAACTTCGAGAAGTACGTCGCGCCGCCTAGCTGCTCAGGGAGATCATCCATCCGAGGGAGAGGGCTGGCGTTCTTTACGGTTTGTGCGTTAAGTTTGCGATAGTCAATGCATAACCGTAGATCTTTGTTCTTCTTCCGGACGAAGAGAACAGGGGCACCATATGGCGAGCAACTAGGGCGAATCCAGCCCTTGTCGAGAAGGTCATCGAGTTGTGCGCGAAGCACCTCGAGTTCCTCTTCGCTCATGCGGTAGATACATCCACGCGGAGGGACGGCGCCAGGCTCGAGAGTGATCCCGTGACGTATGGGCCGATCCGGAACCGTTCCGGTGGGAACCTCGAAGACGTCTCCATACTCGTCCAAGAGGTGAGAAATGCGTGGGTCCGGCGGTGAGGCGGCTGGTCCATCCGACGAGGGGAGAGCATGCAAGAATACAAGGCCCATCTCCTCGACGTCATTCCGAGCAATAGCGGCGCGAATTCTCGCAACGGAAACCACGTGACAAGCAATCGAAGTGTGAGGGGTCGTGACCGTACATGGGACTAACACTCCGTTCCGATCACGGATGTGAACGGTCCGGTCGTGGAACCGCGTTCAAGATGCGGTACGGGCATTTTGAGTGGTTTGTCATGCCTTTTGGCCTCACCAATGCCCCCGCGACTTTCCAAGCAGCGATGACGACTGAGTTTCGCGACTTGCTCGATCGCAGCGTCCTCATCTACCTTGATGACATCTTGGTCTATAGTTGGACGTTGGACGAGCACATCGTACACCTTCGCACTGTTCTGGATCGTTTCCGACTGGCCCAGTACAAAGCGAACCTCGACAAGTGCGAGTTCGCCAAGCAAGAGCTTGAGTACTTGGGTTACTTTGTCACGCCGAAAGGCATTCGTCCCTTAGCGGACAAGATCCAAGCCATCGTGGATTGGCCGGAACCCCGTTGCACGACGGACGTACGCTCTTTCATGGGATTGGCTGGATATTATCAGCGATTTGTCGAGTCATACTCGAAAGTGGTCGCTCCTTTGTCGAGTCATACTCGAAAGTGGTCGCTCCTTTGTCGAGACTTCAGTCCCCGAAGGTGCCCTTCGAGTTCGACGACGCAGCTCGTGGCGCGTTCACTACGTTGAAGGCAGCAATGCAAGCCGCACCTGCCCTCCATATATATGACCCCACCCTTCCCACCCAAGTGACTACGGACGCTTCGGGATACGGTATTGGTGCGGTGTTGGAACAGTGCCACAAGGACGGTTGGCATCCGGTGGAGTA